CCTCCAGGCCCAACTGTCTGAGGGCTCAGACAACTAAAATTAGACAGTAGGAGCGGCATAAAACTTGCTCAAACTGGCAGAGAGCCCTGGTAGATGTTTTGGAGTCATGAGGGAGTCTTACTAAGACGGTAGGTTCTCATCACGGCGGAAGCCTCCGTGGTGGTGAGAATACCCTGGGGATGACAGCTAGGCTTTATAACTTCAATACAGCAAAGGCTTCACTAATGCTTCCGGTGTGAACTTTATCACCTGCTTATGCCAGGGAGGTTAGAAGAACCAGCTATGACCTCAGCCGTGGCTCATTACACGAGTCTTCCTAAGAATTTCTTGTGGAGGGAGGGACGTGGTGCCACATACAAGCAGATAGGGGAGGTAAGTTGTGATAGCATTCTACATGAAGGTTAACAAAACAGCCTGAATAAAACTCACTCTACCCCGTCCTCCTGTGTTTAAAGGACCACAATTCACAGCCATAATTGACCCAAGAAATATTGATTTTAAAAAATAATAAACTATTATTCTCATAGAGCAAATCGTAGTATTCTCTCCTAGATACACATAGTTTCTTCTCTTTACCATTATTTTTACATAAAATATTTAATACGGAAAAGCAAAACATAAAATTCATGCAACAGCGATCACAATTAACAAATGATAACAGATGCAATCTCTTTTGTGCCCTCCCCCCAAGCTCACCCCTTCCCTTCCTTCCCAAGAGGCAACCAACCTCATGAATAGGGTGTGGCTCTCTCTACTCCATGTTCTTATATTTCTACACTGTTTATATATTTTTATAGAGCAAATATAGTATTGGTTTGTATGTTCTAAAATTTTATATTAAGAATATGTGTCACATAGTATATACGGTTCTGCTTTTTTTTCACTTAACATTGTGTTTTAGAAATTCCTCCATATAGTCGTATACAGATCTAGTTCATTTATTTCACATGTTGTATTGTGTTAGCTTTGTACCACATCTTATCCAGTCCTGTTTTGAAAGTCAGGTGGTTCTAACTTTTGTTATAATAGACAGTGTTGCAGTAAACAACTTATACAAAGCTCCCCGTGCACCATTCCAGCGACAGTGTAGGATGTGTACCTAGGAGTTTAATGCCAGGTTTTAATTCTACTAGACGGTGCCAAATTGTTCTCAAAATGGGGTAGTTTTTATTTCTCCTCATTTCATCACACTTGTACTGTTAGACTGTTTCATGTCTGCTAATAGAGTAAGCATGAAATATTTCACGGTCATTTTTATATGCCTGTCCCAGATGACCACTGAAGTTAAACCACCTTTTCATGTGTTGACTATGATAGTTTCCTCTTCTGCAATCACATCACTCCACTTTCTAAAATGCCGTGAAAAGCTATTTATTGCATGGATAATATACTGCACTGGGCATTCCAAGATCTAAAAAATAAGGTTATTAAGAGTTTATATAAAAATAATACCTTCCTGAACACCAGAATCTAAGATGAGATTCGTAGCACAGCTTCACAATTCTGTTGGTGAATGCTTGTTTTAGATTATATGTTCCTGATAGTTAATGGATGTTTTAAATTCTGTGCAAATTATACTACAATGTATGATTCACGATTCTGAGGAAAATGATGAAGCAGGAGCCTCTGGCTTAGAACAAAGAAATAAGGTCTATTTTCATTTTCTGTCTAAAAGAATCAAGAAACAATGAATTGTCTTCCAACCTTCCTCCTCCAGAGCGCCTAGACAACAAGCAAACACACACACAATAGTGATGATGGCAGCAACTCAGAGTCACCATCAGAAGAGAAAGAGTATTACGCTAAACAGAGTATTCCTACTTAAATACCACAGATAGCTCTGATCTAGGGAGAGCAAGTATATTTTGATGGTCAGAATGTTTCTAACTGTAAACCTTATTGCTTATGCATAAGTCAACCTTTTTTTTTTTTTTGAGACGGAGTTTCGCTCTTGTTACCCAGGCTGGAGTGTGCAATGGCGCGATCTCGGCTCACCGCAACCTCCGCCTCCTGGGTTCAGGCAATTCTCCTGCCTCCGCCTCCTGAGCAGCTGGGATTACAGGCACGCGCCACCATGCCCAGCTAATTTTTTGTATTTTTAGTAGAGACGGGGTTTCACCATGTTGACCAGGATGGTCTCGATCTCTTGACCTCGTGATCCACCCGCCTCGGCCTCCCAAAGTGCTGGGACTACAGGCTTGAGCCACCGCGCCTGGCCAAGACAACCATTTTTACATAGGCAATCTTTTTCCCTTCGCTTTTTGTTTATGTACATTAATACCACATATCACAATTATCAGGGCATTTGCATCTTATGCCGAGGAAAAATCTGTAAAATCTGCATCTATTCTTTAGTTATCTCAAAGTTGAATGCTACGGAGATTCCAAAAATTGCATTTGCAAGGAGTATGAAGGCAAGTCTCCTAGCCAAAGGACTCTGAATAGTGACGTAACTTTCAATGATTTACATGATGGTACCAATACTTCAAGAAAAGAGCTAACCAAAAACCCTTTAGAATTGGCTTTGGTATGTGCTTTTGTCCTCTCAGTTTGAACTTGGATGTGTTTGGAGTAAAGGGAAAACCATTTTTTAAAATAATAATGATGGTCCCAGAAGAAGAAAAATGTTAAAAGGCCTGTAAAGTTTCCACCTCTGTCCTGGTTTTGTGCCTCTCAGCTGGGGTTAATCATTATCAAATCTCAGATGGGAAGAAGGCTCCCACTGAAGCAGAGGCTCCCTCTCTCTGGCCTTGTTGCTGTGCTGTTGGTCTGCCCCTTCCTTGGGCAATGGTACAAAAACTCTTTGGATTTTTAAAAACAGACAAACCTCCTTCCATTTAAGGCAACTGTATAAAAAGAGCTTCTTACTACGCTGGGGGAAGCAAAACCTTACCCCCAAGAATGATGAAATCACCTTTGATACAACTGAGCAATGAGACTTCACAGTACTCCCACTTCACAGACCAGCTGCCCTAACCCAAAATAGCAAAAACAGACTCGGTAGAGAGGTCTTTGGGGATATCCACTCTCATACTCAGGACAGCTCTGGGTGGCTCTACAGCCAACTGGATCACGTAGTGGGGTGACTGAGTCCTCAAAGACACATGTGAAGGATTCACTTTTGCCTGGGCTGGGCTGGGGCATCTCCTCCACTGGTATAGACACAGCTACAGGGCATCTCCTGGCCCACAGCTACAAGCGAAACAGTCACTCATCCCCAACACTTTAAGGCCTAGTCCTTGTACAGCAAATACTGACCATGAGTCAGTCAAGGTTTAGTGAACGGTCGTGGGCATGGGACTGGAACGTTTTGGTAGCAAACTCTAACTGCGTCAACCGTAAATAAAAGTAGGTTAGAAAAACTTAACAGGTCCTGAACCCAGAACACCGGCCTTTGTAGAATGTCACTCCACCGAAGACAAACTGACTCCAAGTTAGTGGATACTTGGCTAGGCAAATAAGAAAATGGTAACAGGAAGTAAAGGGTAGGGATAGAGAGATGGGGAGCTGGGATTGTTCAGGAGAGGAAGCATGCTCCTGGAATTCATGGTTGGAACAGAAAAAGGGTTTTCTCAGAGAAACTGTTATAAATAAAGATCAGGCATCGTGGTTGTAATCCTATTTTCTCTGTATAATTCTATTTTCTCTGTATTAAACACTCTTTATCATTTAGCATGAACGTTTTTTTCTCCCTGAGGGAAGCTCAATTAAAGCTGAAACAGGGAGCTGAAAAGAACTTCAGAATACCACATATCCATGAGCTGAGAAACTGTTCTGCTAGACAAGGAACTGACTCCTCATTTGAGCTGTTCTGGCTGGTGATGAAATCAACGGAACTTTCAAACATTTTAATCAATCAGTCAGTCCCTACCTTCCCGCATCTTCCTGTTGAGCCACTGCCTTATGCAAAGTTTAAGCAACTTGTGGACTGGTGGCTATATCCATGAACAGTCTACTTCCTGCAGAGTAACTATCACACGTTAACTAATTACTTAACTGTCTGCCCGCCCCACCCGCAGCCACTAGAATGCAAGCTCTTGAGGGCAGTGACTCATTTGCCCACCATGGCATCTCTATGTTCAGCACATCCTAACCCTCATTAAAGGTGTTGACTGAAGGAAAGACTAAAATGGCTGGCTCACAGCAAATACTAAGAAAGGATTTGTGAATGAAATGCCTCTAGCATACTAAGAGAAGCAACCGATGTCAAACGAGCCATTTAAGTCGGTTGAAGGGCTAACCTCGCCTGGCGCAGTTAATCTGTAGCGACCTTTCACAAATGGAACCACAGTTGGAGGCTGGGATACACGTAGGTCTGAGAATTCTTTATAATGAAGAAGTGATTCCATCTGATAACCACACATGGTAGATGGCACTATTCGGCTTACGGATGTCCCAGCCCAAGGCTGGCGCAGGGCCGAATGAGCCAGCAGAGCTCAAACCGGAGGGAAATAAATCCTACGCTTTGGAAACCCCTGGAATAGGAAGGCCCCTGAGACCCAGGAAAAGGGGCAGAGGATACCCAGCGCAGACGGAGGCGATCCTAGACACAACCTTCTGTCTGCAGGGTACCCAGACTGTGTCCCAGATTCCAAGGGTGACAGTGCCACAGTAGGGCAGCACTCCTTCGCATTGGCAGCGTGGTACAAGCAACAGCGTAGGGCAGGTAACGCAATTGTGCATCCCTTGGTCACCAGCACAGCGGCTTTGAACCACCCCCCCCGCCCCCATATACACGCTCCTTCCGCCACTCAAGGTGTGGGGTGGGGGGGGGCCGGCAGAACCGAGAGGCTCTGAGGCGGGCCGGCGACCTGGTGCTGCCGGCCGGGGCCAGAACCACCGCGCGGCCGCCTCGCCCTGCCCCACCCCGACGCTCGGCACACCTCGGTGTTTTGCAGAGCCTCTGCCTCGGGGCCCCGGCCGTCTGGGAGCGCACGCCTGGCCCTGGGCCGGGAGGCCCTAAGAAGGGAAGCGGCGCTGCGGGGGCCGCGGGGACTTACCTGCAGCAGCACGGCAAGCAGGAAGCACAAGTACATCTGATAGATGCCCATCTCCCCCACCGCCTGGAACGCCTCCTCCACCTCCATGGCGGGCCGCGCGCGGGAGCCCCGCCGCCCCGCCGCCCCGCGCAACGCGCGAGCCCTGGGCGCCTGGCACCCGCTCGGACCCGCCGGGGTGGGGGCGGGGGCGGGACCGCGGGCGGCGGGGCCGGGGCGGGGGCGGGAGCGCGGGCGGCGGGGCCGGGGCGGGGGCGGGGGCGGGGAGCGCGGGCGGCGGGGCCGGGGCGGGGGCGGGGGCGCGGGCGGCGGGGCCGGGGCGGGGGCGGGGGCGGGAGCGCGGGCGGCGGGGCCGGGGCGGGGGCGGGGGCGGGAGCGCGGGCGCGGGGCCGGGGCGGGGGCGCGGGCGGCGGGCCGGGGCGGGGGCGGGGGCGCGGGCGGCGGGGCCGGGGCGGGGGCGGGAGCGCGGGCGGCGGGCCGGGGCGGGGGCGGGAGCGCGGGCGGCGGGGCCGGGGCGGGGGCGCGGGCGGCGGGGCCGGGGCGGGGGCGGGGACGGGAGCGCGGGCGGCGGGGCCGGGGCGGGGGCGGGGGCGGGAGCGCGGGCGGCGGGGCCGGGGCGGGGGCGCGGGCGGCGGGGCCGGGCGGGGGGCGGGGGCGCGGGCGGCGGGGCCGGGCGGGGGCGGGAGCGCGGGCGGCGGGGCCGGGGCGGGGGCGGGGGCGGGAGCGCGGGGCGGCGGGGCCGGGGCGGGGGCGGGAGCGGGGGCGGGGGCGGCGGGGCGGGGGCGGGAGCGCGGGGGGCGGGGGCGGCGGCGGGGCGGGGGCGGGAGCGCGGGCGGCGGGGCCGGGGCGGGGGGCGGGAGCGCGGGCGGCGGGGCCGGGGCGGGGGCGGGGAGCGCGGGCTGCGGGGCCAAAGACGCGGATGCTGGGCGGGGAGCGGGGACCGGAGCGGGGCAGACGCTGCGCGAGGGCGAGGGCGAGGCGAGCGGGGCGTTCGCGATCCGGGGCCTGGATACCCCGGGCCCGGGCTTCTGGGCTCCCTGTTTAGAAAAAGGGTGTTTTGTTTTGTTTGAGGGTTCGCTGCCTGCGCCTTAAAGTGAGGAAAGAGGAAGTGGGCCGGGCCGTGCGGCGCCGGGCGTGAGAAGAAACGCCGGGACGGCGTCCGCGTGTGACCCTGGGTTCTGCCTGCAGGGGACGCCGCAGCTGCGGGGCCGCCTGGCGGCTCTCAGCACTGTCTGTCCTCTTGCCCAAACCCGTTTAATGCGGGGGCTCGGGGAGCCCGAGACCCTTCAGAGAACAGTGCTGTGCAGCCTTTGCTTCCAGTCCTACTGCATGCTAGCCATGGGTTCAGGACACTAGGAGGTAAGCAAATGCTTGCAAACCCGTGGTACGCATTTGCTTATAGAAGTATGCACGAGGTTCAAAGCAGGTGCAGAAGACCAAGGATTAATCAATCTGTGGGGTAGGAGGTGATGACTGCCAAGGTACCTAAAGGATAAACAGCAGTTTGTCAGGTGGAAAGTAAAAAGAAAGCGTGGAAGGGCCAAGGGACTCTGGACACTGCGTTAGTCCCCTCATGCCTCCACCTTCTATACTTGCTTCTTTTTTGCTTATGTGTTCTTTTTTAACCGCTGCATAGTATTCCATGTCTAGCCGCCAGTATCCCTGACCTTCCAGCATCCTGCTTATGCTTCCAAATTTCTCTGTAATGGTGATGTCTGCTGCAGTGTGTTGGTAGCTAGGTTTTACTGCCTCAGCTGCTTTCTTGTTTCAGCAATTAAATGAACGCTCACAGTAATAGAATATATTAGTGTGTTGGAAACTGTAAACTCTAAACTCTTAAGATTTTTTCTCTCTCTCTTTTAAGGAAACGTTTTCTGTATAGGTACTATTAATAGTTAAGAAAGTTTCCTTCTTTGGCTGTTTCCTAAGAATCCTCATTGTTAATAAACGCTGAACTTTAACAAGTGATTTTTACATTTATTGACATGAATCTGATAATCCGGTATATTATGGTAATAGTATTTTTTGATATTGAACTTTACTGGAATAAATCTATTAATACTTGCTCATAATATTGCTATTTATTGCCAAATTTAATTTGCTAGTGTTTTGTCTGAGGACTTTACATCTCTGATTAGCAAGCTAGGCCTATAATTTTCTTTTCTTCCCGATGTTCATGTCTGGAGTTGACAGTAAGATTTTATAGGGCTTTCATAACGTCAGTGTGAGTGTTTGCTGAAACTCTCCTGCAACCATCTAGACGTAGCTTGTTTTGCAGGGGAGCCTCTATGTTACAGACCTGTAGGTATGGGTAAAGATAGATAGATGTGTATAACTGTATATGTTTACATGGCTTTGCATTTCTTCCTGAACCACTTTTTTTTCTAGAAATGTTTCTATTTTATCTAGTTTAGAAATTGTTTTTGGAATAAACTTGTTCACATTGTTCTCCTGGAGTTTTTAAAAATAAGGGTCTAGCTGTTTATGTCCCATTTTTCATTCCGAATAGAGTCATCTTTATTTTTCCAATCTCGTCTTGCCAGAGGTTTGTCTACTTTATTATTTTTTAAAGAATCAGTTTTGTTTTGTAAATTTTTTTTTAATTTCATGGATTATATGAATTTTCCTTTTTTTTTACTTTTGTTACTCTGTAATTCTCTACTAGACACATGACTTGAGAGTTTAGCTTCTTTGCTTCTAATATCTCTTTTTTAGGAATAATTATATTCAGCCAGGCATGCCAAATGCACACCTGTAATCCCACACTTTGGGAGGCCAGGCAGGCGGATCACCTGAGGTTAGGAGTTCAAGTCCAGCTTGGCCAACATGGTGAAACCCCGCCTCTACTAAAAATACAAAAATTAGGCGGGCATGGTGGCACATGCCTGTAGTCCAGCTACTCAGGAGGCTGAGGCAGGAGAATCACTTGAACACAGGAGCAGAGGTTGCAGTGAGCCAGGATCATGCCATCATGCTCCAGCCTGGGCGACAGAGCAAGACTCCAGCTCGAAAATAAATACATAAAGTGATTATATGTAAGGCTGTACTTACTTTTCTATAGGACTTTGCTCTATCCGACACGTTTTGTCATGTGGCTTTTGTTGTCTTTAGTTTTAAATATTTCATGACATTATAATTTCCTCTTTAACCAATGAGCTATTTTTAGTGCATTTTTTTTGTTTCAATTAAAGATGCTATTTTTTAACCATCTTTTTAGTGTTGTTTATAAATTTATATGCTTTGTGGACAGAGATTATATTAATCTTAGAGATTGTTTTAATTTTCACATGACCTAGTTTGGAGATAGGTCTGGCTCTGTCACCCAGGCTGGAGTGCAGTGGCTTAATCACATCTCACTTCAGCCTTAACCTCCCCAGCTCAGGCCAGTCCTTCACCTCAGCCTTCCAGGTAGGTAGGACTATAGGCACACACCACCATGGCTAATTGTTTTTTTCAGATGGAGTCTCACTCTGTCACCAGGCTGGAGTGCAGTGACGCTATCTCAGCTCACTGCAACCTCTGCCTCCCAGATTCAAGCAGTTCTCCTGCCTCAGCCTCCCAAGCAACTGGGATTACAGGCGCCCACCACTGTGCCAGCTAATTTTTGTATTTTTAGTAAAGACAGGGTTTCACCATGTTGGCCAGGATGGTTGGTCTCCATCTCTTGACCTCGTGATCTGCCCGCATTCAGCCTCCAAAGTGCTGGGATTACAGGTGTGAGCCACAACACCAGCCTAACTTTTGTTTTTTATTTTTTGTAGAGGTTGGGTTTCACTGTGTTGCCCTAGCTGATCTCAAACTTCTGACCTCAAGTGATCCACCTGCCTCAGCCTTTCGGAGTGCTGGGATTATAGGTGTGAGCCACCATGCCCAGCTCATTTCCCCCTTTTTTTTTTTTTTTTTTTTTTGTTTTTAGATGGAGTCTTGCTCTGTCACCAGGCTGGAGTGCAGAGGCGTGATCTTGGCTCACTGCACCCCCGCCTCCTGCGTTCAAGCCATTCTGCCTCAGCCGCCTTAGCTGGGACTACAGGCATACACCACCACGCCCACCTAATTTTTGTACTTTTAGTAGAGACAGGGTTTCACCACGTTGGCCAGGATGGTCTCAATCTCTTGACCTTGTGATCCGCCTGCCTCGGCCTCCCAAAGTACCGAGATTACAGGTATGAGCCACCGAATCCGGCCTTTCATTTTTTAATGTTCCACGTGTATTGAAAATAACATATATTCTCCACTTGTCGGATGCAAGCTTCTCTATTAATCAAACTTGTTGATCTAATTTTATTCAAGTAGTCTATATTATTACTTAATTTTTCTCTGCTGAATATATCAATTTTTAATAAATATATCAAAATTTTCTAAAATTAATATCATTTTTGAGTTTATCAAGTTCTTTTTTTGCCTCTGTGTGCTCACAAAGGTACTAATTCATTTTTTATTGTGATCAAATCGCTCTTTTTAATGCTTTTTGTCTTTTTATTTTGTCTCATATAAATATTGTTGCATCACCTTTTCCGTTGTTTGTATTTTCCTTGTTATCTTTTTATTCTTTTTTTTATTCTTTTTTTTTGAGACAGAGTTTTGCTTTTGTTGCCTAGGCTGGAGTGCAGTGGCATAATCCCGGCTTACCACAACCTCCGCTTCCTGGGTTCAAGCAGTTCTCCTGCCCCAGCCTTCAGAGTAGCTGGGATTACAGGCATGTGCCACCACGCCTGGCTAATTTTGTATTTTTAATAAGAGATGGGTTTCTCCATGTTGGTCAGGCTGGTCTCGAACTCCTGACCTCAGGTGATCCTCCCACCTTGGCCTCCCAAAGTGCTGGAATTATAGGAGTGAGCCACCATGTCCAGCCTGTAATCTTTTTAATCTTCTATCATCTTTTTACATTTATCCTTTAAGTTTCTTTCTGCTTAAGGCATGTGTCTTAGTCTACTTGGGCTTCTATAACAAAATACCATAGATTAGCTAATTCATAAACAATAGAAATTTATTGCTCACAGGTCTGGAGGCTGGGGAGTCTAATATCAAGGTACCAGTAGATTTGGTGTCTGTGAGGGACTGACTGCTCTCTGCTTCAAAGATGTCACCTTCTTGTCACATCCTCACAGCAGGAGGACAAGAGCTCTCTGGAGTCTTTTGTGAGGGCACTAATCCCATTCATGAGGATGGAGCCCTCATGATTGAATCACTTCTCA